CTTTGATTTAAATGCTCGTGTAATTATTGAATCTAATGATGTTGATTTTTATGAGGACAGGTTTCCTTTTAAATCTAGAAATAGTGGGGGCACGTCCTCCTCTATTATTCCTAAAGACAGGTCTAACTCACAAGACTTGGATGCTGAACCCGAACTAAGAAAGAGCAAGCGGGCTAGAGTAGCAAAAGACTTCGGCCCAGACTTTGTAGTTCTGAATGTAGAGGAGGATCCTTCTACCCTCCAAGAAGCTCTAACCTCAGTGGATGCAGATTTATGGCAAGAAGCCGTGAACGACGAAATGGACTCACTTGAGTCTAATCGAACTTGGCATCTAACTGAGTTGCCACCAGGTTGCAAGTCAATTGGTTGCAAATGGGTCCTAAAAAGAAAGCTGAAAGTTGATGGGACCATTGATAAGTTCAAAGCCCGTTTAGTAGCTAAAGGCTACAGACAAAGGGAGAATGTTGATTTCTTTGATACCTATTCACCTGTAACTAGAGTAACATCTATTAGAGTATTAATATCTCTTGCTTCTGTTTTTAATCTTGTAGTACATCAAATGGATGTGAAGACTGCATTCTTGAACGGTGAATTGGAAGAAGAAATCTACATGGATCAACCGGAAGGATTCGTTGTTCAAGGAAAAGAGCATCTGGTATGTAAGCTAGATAAATCTCTTTATGGTCTCAAACAAGCACCTAAACAATGGCATGAAAAATTTGATAACTTAGTCATCTCACATGGTTTTAAGATAAATGGTAGTGACAAATGCATATATGTAAAATTTGAGAATGACATATGCACTATAATTTGTCTATATGTGGATGACTTGTTAATTTTTGGCTCGAACATTCATGCTGTGAATGATGTAAAGCTATTGTTGAATGCTGAGTTTGATATGAAAGACCTAGGAGAGGCTAATGTAATCCTTGGAATTAAGATTACTAGGACAGAAAATGGAGTTTCTTTGGATCAATCTCATTACATTGAGAAGATCCTAAAGAAATATAGTTACTTTGACTGTAAACCTGCTAGTACACCTTATGATTCCAGTGTTAAATTATTTAAGAACACTGGTGATGCCGTAAGGCAATCGGATTATGCGAGCATCATTGGCAGCCTTCGGTATGCCACTGATTGTACTAGACCCGACATTGCCTATGTCGTGGGATTGTTAGGCAGGTTTACTAGTTGTCCTGGTAATGAGCATTGGCATGCTATTGAAAGGGTCATGAGATACCTTAAGAGGACCATGAACCTAGGGTTGCATTATGAAAGGTTTCCAGCTGTACTAGAAGGCTATAGTGATGCTGACTGGAACACCTTATCAGATGACTCTAAGGCTACTAGTGGATATATTTTTTCTATAGCCGGTGGAGCTGTATCTTGGAAGTCTAAGAAACAGACTATTTTGGCTCAGTCCACCATGGAGTCAGAAATGATAGCACTAGCTACGGCTAGTGAAGAAGCAGGTTGGTTAAGAGGCCTGCTAGGTGAAATTCCCCTATGGGAAAAGCCATTACCGGCTGTCTTGATCCATTGCGATAGTACCGCGGCTATTGCAAAAGTTCAGAACCGTTATTACAACGGTAAGAGACGACAAATACGTCGTAAGCACAGCACTGTGAGAGAATATCTCTCTATCGGAGCTGTTAGAGTGGATCACGTACGCACTGAGAATAACTTGGCTGATCCTTTGACGAAAGGATTAGCTAGGGAGAAAGTCCATTTTTCTTCTAAGAAAATGGGACTATTGCCATTGAAATGAACCACACATAATGGTAACCCAACCTATGAACTGGAGATCCCAAGAAATAGGTTCAAAGGGTAATAACAAGTTATGGTGTGTTATGAGTTGAATATGTTCAAAAGACATAATTTCCTGAAGCGATCAAGGATGAGTTAATAGGAACTCTTAATGAAATCTATACTCCAATTTGGAGTGGAGTACCAAGCTACAGGAGTACTCTTGATAGATTCACCTATGTGAATGTGGAAGTTAGGCCGCTTCCTATGAAATGTGTGGCAGCATTTCTAGAGCATTCACTACACTGGGATAGACGTGCATGGCCGAAATAGCACGGGTCTAGAACAACACCAAGAGTAGGTTGTGTGGGGTACGTTGTCAGAGATAGGGTTCAAAACTTCGAGTCACCCTTGTTGAATCTGAATCGTACTCACTACGTCGAAGTTCAAGTTGAAAAACACTTCTGTTTATGCGCAACCTATATATGTATGGATTCTGCTCGAAAATGTTTTCAAAAAATTCAAGTGGGGGATTGTTGGAACAACAAGTGTGTAGTGTGTAGTGTGTGAATTTTGTGAAAAACTCAAAGTCCCACATTGGTGGGAAATGAGAGTTTTACTCTCTTTATAATATAGAGAGTGGGCTAAAGGGGTGTGGCCCTTGGGCTACCCACATTTTGTGGAGAGGGAGGACCTATATGGTAAACCATCTATCACACACACGCGCGCCGAACCGAACCGAGCCGAGCCGGGCCGGGCCGGGTTGGGCTGGGTCGGGTCGGGTTTATTAAATAAACTTATTTTTTGGACAAGGCTAATTGCGTGATTAGTTCCTTGATTTTTGCTAAACGTTTTTGACTGATTGCATTTGACCGTTTTTATTCAAAACTGATTAATGGAGCGTTAATCATGCAAACGTTTTCACTGATTTTTTGCTAAACGTTTTGCCACGCATTAATCTTCTGTAACCGTTTTGAACGTTCAACTTATGACCGTTTTAATTGCGTGATTAGTGCCTAATTAAACAGCAGCAGTTACGTTGCAATTTTTCCTATAAAAGGCGTGTTGATTTCCTGTTTTTGAGACACAAAAAATACGAACAGCAATCTTCTTCTCCTCTCTATTTTTCCTCACAAAAACAAAACCCTCGAGCAGTTTCTTTTCTTTTTGGGTGTTTAGTTGCCCGGTGGTTTTGTGCAGTTCCACCGGTATAATTACAATAGAGAAAGGCTGTTTTATCCTGGGGAACATCCGGTTTAGTACGAACTGCTTGCACCATTTCAGGGCAGTGCCGTGAATGTTCTAAAGAAAGCGACATAGTCCGCGACTCAGTCTATTTTTCGGTAACTTTGTTCTTACTGTTTTTGTTCCCGCAGTTCCGTTTATAACAAGAAGTAAATGGAATAGTAACGAGGATAGGTTTGTGCCAATTTCTTTTTGTTAGTCAATTTTTCTTTTTGTAATTTCTTCTTTGATTATTTACATTTTAAAGGCTTATTGATTAGGTGAATAGAATATTTCTATACCTTCTTAATGTTAAAATAATAATATTTATTTTATTATGATGAAGAAAATGATTTTTGCTTGTTTTTTTACGTGATTTTTGTAACGACGAAGCCTTCTTATGAGCTTGTTATCGACAAATGAAAACCAAAGTTGGGATTCAATTGCTGCAAAGATGAAGGGGAAAGGAGGGAAACAATGTCGTGAACGGTGGGTTAACCATTTACAACCATTTATTAAGGTAATTTAACGATTGTATTTTTTTTTAGAGACTCATATTTTTTCACTTAAATTTTATCGTATTTTAGATATTAATTGTACATTTGCCTATTAAACACTTTAGTTTTATTAACTATAACAAGAGCTCTCATTAACCATTTTCTCCATTTTGGGTAAATTCGATTAACATTTGGCGTTTTTTTCTACAACATAAATTGCAAATTTAGTTAACAAGAAAACACTTATTTTCAAATGGGTTTTTTTTTTTTTTTTTTTTTTTTTAATTTTATTAATATGGGATAAAAACATACTCGTATTATGACTTGATTGAAATAAAATCTCCCTTACATATATACTTAATCTGTTAATCACCATTCTAAATCTGAATTTTTTTTATTGCATTTTGCGTTTTTAAGTTATAAAATTAACAATGGTCCTTTTATTTTTTCTTCAGATCTCGAGGAAAAGGAAACAATCAAGAAAGTCATTAATTTTTAATTAAAATATCAGATATAAAAGTAGCAAAATAATAAAACGCCCTAAAATCATATTCCTCTTTACAAATCATTGCAAATAATGTGAAACGGAGGTAGTATATCATGTGTTTTGCTCCCCACCACCACCACCTTACGTTGTGCGAAAAAAGGTTTGCTATAATCTCTTTAATCCGTGTCTTCTTTGCTTCTCCGCCACCCTGATGTCATTTACAACATTTTTATTTTTAAAAACATATAAGCATTAACATATATATATATATATATATATATATATATATATATATATATATATATATATATATATATATATATATTTTATTTATTTGAATTCCTCGGTTTCAACGTAGATGACACATTTTGACTTTTAAATCTGCTCACAAATTCACTTTAACTTGCTTTTATTTTGTGATTTATAATATATATTTTTCTTTTTTTTTTCATAGTCATATGATCTTGCTAGCATATATTTATGTGTATTTTCAAAACATAAACTTTTTATAATTTTACTTATTGATAATTAGAGTTATTTTAAAATTAATTTTAAATTAACGCACGTGATAAATGAAACTTGTTATCTAATTTAAAACGAAGGAAGTGTTTGATAATAACAACACATACGAAAATTAAAGTCTAACTTTCTTCCCTATACAATATTTTTTGTATGAAACAATAGAAGGATGATTGGGACGAAAAAGAGGATGAGATCTTGGTGAAACATCACAAGATATATGGTAATCAATGGGCAAAGATCTCTCAGTTTATTCAAGGAAGAACAGATAATGCTATCAAGAATCATTTCAATGCTGCCAAAAGTAAGCTTTTTACGAATAAGTATTGTCACAAAGCTGGAAATCAACCATTTCCTGTTTTACAAGATTACTTAAGAAGCCTGTTTGAACGCAACACCACCTCTACCTCCACCACCACTATCGCCCCCTTGGCAGCCTCGCTTAGCTCGGAATCCTTACTTACCTTTGCAAATATTGTTGAAAGCTCAAACGCAAACCAATTTCAGGATGTTGCTTCATCTATTGAGTCTTCTCCATCAACCGTAGTAAGCTCGAGCCATGATGATGATGAGTTCATGAACAACGTCTGCCAATATGTTGATCAAATGAAGGAGAGTTTTGATTGGATGGAAGAAGTGTAGTATTACTCAGCTTAAAACAAGGAAGACAATTATGGAGATTACATTGATGAATTTCTTTAAATTAGTTGACAATTGCTATATTTTTGTTGTTAATTTTATGTTACTCCTTTAATCATACCATAGTTATGTTTTGCATTAATAGAATTCTCCTTTCAAGTTAATTGAAATTGTCATCAAGGCTGATATATGATTTTTTTTTTTTTTTTTCTTTGATTTCAAAATCACAATGTATCCTGATAAATTTTAAAATTCTTAGGACATCTCTATTCACCAAATGTTTCAAATCTTTGCATACTATTTTGTCCAATCCACACACACCCCATATTCTATTAACAAATGCTTTGCTCTCTTCTCCGCTACTTTCGTCCCTCCAAAAAAATCACCTAAACAGTTGTATATGCCATGTAGTACAACACCCTCCCATTCCACCACATCTCTACTTCCAACTCCATAAATGTAATAATTGGGTTAACAAAGAAAAAACTTATGCAACTCCATAAACTCAAAGCAAGAATTTTGCATCAAAAAAATAAACTCAAAGCAAGAAAACCTTCATGTGAAATATTCAGATGTAATAAGGGCCTTATTACATCTGAATTTTTCACATACATAGAACACCATATATTTCTCTGTGACCAAATGGCATAATCAGCCTCTGCAAAAACTTATCCGATAGAGTACCTCTCATTCTTCATTGTTCTCAAATTACGACATCAAGATTTCTATCTTGATATCGAAAACTATAGGAGACTGTATTGGCAAGATCCAACAGTGAATGGAGCCTAAAAGAAAAATATAAATTCAAAATTGTACCATCTACGTTGCAAATTTTCAGAAAAAACACACCATTTTAATACAAGTAACCTCATTACTCAAGATTGCCCGCAATGTGAGGAACAAGCTTCTACTAGCTTCATTGTATCATATTGATCGATCATAGCGATGTAACTATTGCAGGCAACTAGTGCTTTCTGGGAAGGGTCTGCTGATCCATTAAGAAGCACCCTGCAGGTGATAAAACTACCAGTGGATTGGGGTAGACTTGGATTTTCCGATAGGACCATAGCTTTCAGAGTTTCACCACACTCTTTTCAGTTCGTTTGCTAAATACTTCAAACATAAAACAAAACAAATTATCCAAAATTTAAGTAGGAACTATATAAAAAAATTTCAACTTCAAATAATTAATGGTACAAATTAACCAAAATTTTTTATGGAAGAAAAACGAAACAAACCAAGACTATCAGCCAACTTTTTAAATATGAAGTAATACAACTGTTTTCTTGCAAAACTATGCGAAATGGGTTAAATAGATCTGCATTGCCAATCCAAGTGACAAAAATGACGGATCACCTTGTAGAATACTACCTCTGGCTGAACCAGGTTTAGTTGCACTTTACTAATCCAGATTACACTATTCACGAGACAATGAATAGAATGAAGTGAGGAAGTATTCGCAGCTGTGCTGCATTATGACGCACTGAACTACTGCGGAATTGTTCCTACAGAAGATACGGAGCTATGTTGTATCTCTATCCTATGAGTAATCCAACATAACCTGAGAATCAGGACATCTTGGCTCTAGCAAAAAATACCCCAGCAAATAGACCTGTAACATGGAAGAAATTTCATCAAGCTAAAAACTAAAGGTCAAAAAATTTGGTAGAAGAGAGTAGATTTGGCTGTCATTCTCACCAAATAATATGCTGAAAAGATTCGGTATGCTAAGTGGAACATTGAACAACACTAATCCAGCAAGTGACATAGGTATCTTGTTTAAGGAACCAACCAAGCTGTAAAATATATACATCAACAGGATGTTACAATGAGAAAGACGATTGCCTCAGCAAAATATACCAATTTCTGTACACAGTAGCTAAGTTGGTTACATTTTAAAAATAAATATAAAGGAAGAGATACCACATTCCTCCCTTTGTCACCCTCCTATCCTCCCATTCCAAACCCTCAATATTCCTTTTTCCTTCTCTCCTGACATCTCTATCAGGTATTCAGGTTAACATAGGAAGGTGAAGTTTAAATCCCAATTTCTGTTGAAAACAATCTTCATTTCAAGATATTTCCTTTAAACGTTGACCCAAAACACAGCCTAAAATTTATTACATGTGAGCTGGAACTAGGTTGTATAATTAAGAAATCCCAAACATATCCCTAAAACACCTATGTTTTCGTTAAATGAGGGTAGCAATTAGCATCTGCCTTTGGTGCAAAAAAAAAAATGCTAAGTTTGAGAGAGGGCCACTGCTGCTGACCTGCCGCTGCCCATGCAAGGCACACCAAGGCCTAGGTGCTGATGAAACATGGGGGCTGAATGCTGCTGCCCAACTCAAGCTCAAGGCATGCTATGGCTTAGGTAAGGGGCAACTGTGCGAGGCATGGGGACGAGGACAAGACATAATAATAATTAACACATCATCCTTATTGCTACTTGGCTTGCCATAGGGTCAACACAAGGCCAACTCAAGGAAAGGCAAGACAACAAGGTCATGGCGAATTGGCAAGGCATGAAGAAAGGGGTAGGCTAAGGCATGAATGGGATGATTCATGGCACCATGTAGGCCTCCCGAGGCCCATTGGAAAGGGCTGGAAACACCTCGATGCAAACCTTGTCGCTTCAGAGGCCAAATTCAAAGGATTGTTTCTAGATATTTTGGGCTCGATGTCGAAAGTCGAGTGATGCCAAGAGAGGTATCCCAATGTCATATAATGTGTTGTTTGGAGCCATATACAACCACTAGTTGGTCATATAAAGCCCTATGGTGGCTTAAATTAATGAAGGTAGATGTGTACATAACTACCTAAATTGACAATTTAAAGAGAGAGTTTTTGTTTCTAACCACCCAAATGGCTTACCGGGTCTTAGTGGGGTCCATGGGAAGCACCCCGATCTCATTCCTTTGGGAGTTCGAATATGTCGAAAATTGTCTAAAACTGAAGGTTATATTCCACGTCTTTGGGTCAATTTTAGGAAGTTTTACCAAAATGAAGTGAATATGGGGGTTATCCCCAGAGTCGCACAAGTTGGTTTGGAACCATAATAGACCTACCATCTAGTCTATAAAGTCTTAGAAATTGATTTGGTTTAATTATATGGCTACTTAGACAGTTGAATTAGCAATCAAAAGCTTTAAGAGATGGTTCTTATCACTAATTTGACATCCTAGGTCTGATCCTCTTATGGTGTGGTGGGATTCCTTCATTGGTCATCAAACCCAAACTCCCACTACTTACCATATGGTTGATGGATGCACTACATGGGTTTCTTATTACCATAATGTTAAGTCATGATCATGACCACTTTGATTAGCCTTGTCTTGTTGTAACTCAGTACTAAAATTGCTTCTAGAAAGGTCAGAGAAAAAATAACAGTACCTATAAGTTGTAGGGCTGGTTTGACCTAAAAACCACATCGAAGTAAAGCTGATAGCAAGTCCCAATAATCCGCTAAGTGTTGCTGCAGCCCAAAACATTGGCATTGTAATAACATTGCTGCAAATACATGAATACACTTGAGGAAATAATTTTTTATGAATTTAGCACCAATTAAAAGACTAATCAAGCATTTAAGATCTAAATATGTACTTACACGTTTATGACATATTTCCATTCGTCAAATATAAGAATCAAAACCAGCCCAAATGGTAATGACAATGCATTGTTTAACAACACCATTGAAACTTCATTTAGAGATCCTGATTTTGTCAGCTGTTTTGCTTTTTCCATGACCATTCTCAGTGTAAGCTGTCAAAATGCACACTTGTCTCAACTTCATAGTAACATAAGTGCAAAAAGAGAATAGAATGAAGCTCTATTAACATGATGTATAACATTATAGCAACATAGGCGACAATAAAATGGCCCATATATGAGGAAAAAATACATACTGAATAGCTTGCTGTTAGAACACAGTTTATAAGTTGCCAAGCATATCCTGTAGCATCAAAAGAAAGATCCGTGACGCCACCACTTACAGCAGATATTATCTGTCATTTAGAATGAAGAACTCAGAATTCTAAATAGCAAAGCAAATAGTGTAACACACAAGTTGCTGCACAAGTTATTTCTGGAGCTTATACAATCCCCGTGTCTGTAAATAATAGGCCAAATTTATTTGCCAAACCATCCAAAAATATAGTCTACTTTCTAAATTTAGAATACTAATGTTAACACTATCCTTTATTACGATTAGATATATTGATATGATGGATAGGTTTGGTATTTTATCTCAATTTCTTAAGGGGAGGAAGGAGTAACAAAGAGGAGCAGAACACCAAATAGTGATTAGTCCTTGCAGAGACTGTGCATGAACACTTCTACAAAGTATAACTAAGAAGCATATTTTCTGAGACAAAATCTATAACCCAGACCAAATTTATATAGTTACAGAATTTACTTAAGCACAGTCCAACAAAAAGAAAGGTACCAACACAAACGGACTAGAGTATTTTAGCCAGGAACACAAGAAATCAACATTCATCATCAAAGCTTATATAGCGAGATATTCAGAGATGATACTTCACACACATGTATTCAAGTTTAACCAAGCGCAACATAACATGTAGTATGTACCATCAAAAACATTGCAGTCCACACTTTCTGATTCTGGTGTCTCCGGAATAAATAATAATCACCAACTGCTGTCATAATATTCGTCACATTCTTCAAAATCGTCACCATAGCAACATTTATGTACTTCAAACTGCAAGGATTTTGCCACAGGGATATTCAGTAATAGAATTATACTTCCATTGAACTTATGAGGGAAAAGAAAACATGGATTGTTAGCATTATGCCATATTGTCAAAAGGATGTTCAATTTTATATTGCCCACATGAACAAAAATCACAATGCCACAATCATTATCCATCACAGAGTTTTGAGTACCTGTACATGCCTGATACAAGCATACCCACAAAGATAATGTTGACAGGTAGCCAAACCCGAATGAGCTTCCAGCTGAGCTTTTCTACTGATACAACCCCGCATATACTCAAAATAGCAACGATTACAGTGCTGATTAAATTCTACATTAAGAACATAAGGATAAATTTTTAAAAAAAGGTTGATACCTTTACATGATTATATTAAGAAACAAAATAAATCCTTTGAGATAAGAGAATGAACTACCAGCCACAGGTTATACAGGGAAAGAAAATAATAGAAGAAATGCCAACATCATATACACACTGTATCAATGATTACACAAACCTGATAAAACATCAAAGATATCCCGGCGTTGAAATTGAATGTTGAGAGAACTACTTTGTTTAGCAATATCATGCTACAAGAGGAAAGACAGTAAGCAGCACCAGACACAAGTGGACCAGCAGGTTTTTTTACAGTTTTGTGCTCCCTATCTTCTTCCTCTTGATCTACATGGTTGTCAATGCTGTTTTGTGTGGTTCGATTGGGACGAAGAAGCCTATTCAGAGGACTTGAGAAGATCAGTCATGCAGTCATAAATGTATGCATTTTATCAAATTAAGCATAAACACAGGAAAGATTTGCAAACAAATAACCCCTATTTGGGAAAATGTCCTACCTCCCAAGAAAGACATTAGACTCAGGTTCCCTAAAAAGGGTTCTAAGACCGTCACTTGGAGAATATCTAACATACTTCCTAATAGTAATCCACGTTTCTAATACACCAAACAATTCATATACAGTCAACAAGACACGCACATCAACAATCATAGAGTCTGGACTCTTGATCATCACGTATAAGAAATATTTGTACAGAAGCATTACATAACAAATAACATATCATCCACCTCCCCTTCCCCGATAACAAGTAGCAGGCCATATCAACAACCTACTCGTAATCAGAGAGTCAGAGATTAACACAGATCACAAGAATTACTTTAGGTCATACACTGATAATTATAATTCATGGATAACTGGAGATCAAGTTCAGCTTTGATTGATCAAATGACTTATTCTGAGACACATTTCCCAAAGTATAATCAAAACTATATATAAGCTTGCATTAGAGAACCAGAATATCATTTTCTCATCAGAAGCGACAGAACAAACACACACACATGCATCATCAGCAACAAACAATTTTTAATATAAGCATATTACAGTGAAAATCTAAGTCTCACCTGTCACCTAATGATCTGCGCTCTCTTGGTGATGTAATGTCACTAATTGACTTCTTCCCTTGATGGTAGTCGTCAAGGGTATTGTAGATTCCGTTGGTCCCAATGGCCATAGTATCATTCTCGTGTAGAGGACCTCCTTCTGATTCATAATGATCATAGTTGTTCCCTATGTCTACCTTGATTTCTGATGACATCTGATTAAGGCTGCATACGATGGTACATAAGAAGAAAAAAAGAATAAAAATCGTAGGACACTGCACAGTGCAGGAAGTGACATAATACTTGAGAAAGGAGAACAAAAAGAGGCCAGTAGCTTGTCACAATTTCTTAATGCTAATTCTCTAAGCAATATTCAGGCACAATTGCAATCACTTCATCAATAAAAAGTCCAATAGTACTTATTATACTGCTATTGAGAAGGCGAGCAGAGAAACTGAAAGCTTGTAAAATATTTTAAAACCTCATCCATGCTACCAGTACAGCATAACACAAAATATGTACATATGTCTTGAAAGAAAGAGCAGCTATTTTAATTAAGCATCTGATGATTCGTCTATGGATTACTAAAACAATGAGTCCTAAGAGGTATCATCTTACAATGATAAATTAACTTCAACCTATCATACAAATCTCCTTAAAAACACCCCAAATCAAAATACTCAATGCATTTCTAAACAGTATGCAAAAACACTCATATTTTATCAATAATTCAACTCAATCTAGTAACACGACAACTAAATCCAAGTAGAGGTAGTACTATATTTAATAAAAACTCCTAGCTCCAAGACTAAAATATCCATCATTCTCATCCTCGCTTTCAGAAACACAATCATCATCGTAATAATCAATTACTTAATAATTCGCGCTCATACAAGTATCCTACCATGTATAATTTGTTACCTCATCTACACATTTGGTGAATTCACAAATACAATACAAAAAATAAAAAAAAATAAATAAAAAAATTAGCAATTAACGCTTTGTTTGGATAGCAAAGAAGGAAGGAAAAGAAGGGGAGGGAAAATGGAGGAAGGGAAGGGAAAAGAAAGGGAGGGGGAGGTGAGCTCCATTTTCCCTCCAAATCTCTCCAATTTTGGAGAGATTATGGTTATTAAAGAGATAGGGAAAATGAATCCCTCCCTCTCCTTTCCCTTCATTCCCCCAATCTTTTACCCAAACAAGAGATTTTGTCCCCCTCCATTTCTCTTCTCTTCTTTTCCTTCCATTTCTTCCTATCCAAACAAAGTGTAAATATAGAAACTCACCAATTTCAACTTGAACCTTGGATTTGACTAATCTCAACGACCTACCACACTAATTAACTTCCCTAAAATGTGACCTATATATCAATTTAGTCAAACATTTCACGAACACAAATCACCAAAAATAAATTAAAAATACAGAAAATTAAAAAATAATAATTAAAATCTTCGACTTGACAGTACGAATTTTGAGAACACAGAAACGCAATAGAATGATGAAAAAGAAAGTGATGAAAAATACATGAAATGAACGTGTTTTTACGATCAACTTTTTATATGACACGCAAAGGAGAAATAGTTCCTCAAAATAAGCATCAATACATATTAATTAATCAAAAAAATCATCAAAATAATTGGAGGAGAGAGAAAATGAAGAAGTGTACCATTGAAGGAAGGGGCAATGAGATTGGAGGACAGAGAAAATGACAACAGATGCAGCTGATTCACCACCATTTTTGGCTCCATTTTCGAGGAATTAACCAGAAAAGTCAACTGATTCGCTGAAATTCATATAACTTTTTAAATTTTGTTTCTGGAATTTATGAATATTTTTGTGTTGCTTGGAGAAGACGAAGGAATAAGAAAGAAGATGGTGTTATTCGAGACTGAAGCGAAGGCGTTAAAGCCGTTAATTGAGAATTGATGTTTCGTTATTGGGCTTTTTAATTAAAATAAATTGATGTTTAGCTAAATGTGGGCTAAATTTATTGTGTTTCGTTATTGGGCTTTTTAATTTTTTAATTGGGTAGTTGTGTCAATGCATGGGCCTTGATCCATTGATTTGCTAAATTTATGTGTTTCGTTATTGGGCTTTATACTAAGGCTAAGTTCAGCTAAATTTCAGTTTAATGCAGTTTCTAATTTCTTTCTCTCATAAATAATTCATTTCAACTCTATTTTGTTCAGTTCAGCTATTTTCAATAAATCAGAACAAACCCTAATATTTGTGGAAAGGTGAAAACTAGAAAGGAATTGTCAAACGTTGAAGGATAAAGACTCGTTTTACTTTGTTTTATTCCCTCCGTTCCATTTTAGTTTTGAAATTTTCCATTAACAAAATTATTCAAAATAGTTGTCAAGTTTTCAATAATAAAAAGCATAAACGTATAATGTATCACAATAAACGGATCCCCCCCCCCCAAACACACTTTTATTCCTTATATATGACAACTAGAATGAGACATGATGAATAAAGTTTAATTGAAATGCTCCTATAATGAAATTGCATTGGTTTGTGAAAAACGACATTTAGAAATAAAGAATCTCAGCATGTTTTTAGCTTGTTATGATAGCATAAATCAGTCACATTGGTATAAATAACTTGTCAAGATTACATGAAATTATATACAGGAAAGAATGAAAGATTATTTGATAAAATCCTATTGGAATTCCAAAATCACATGATATCATTAATGGATCAACTAATTATCATTTCTCAAAATATATATAAAAAAATAATAAAAAAAAAATAAACTAAACTAAACTAAGGACTTGTTCACTTCAACTTAATTTCAGTTCAGTTCAGCTTTAATCAGTTCAGTTCAACTTCTGATTTCCTTCTCTCATAAAATATTCCTTTCACTCCAGTTCAACTCTAATCAATTTAGTTCAGTTCAGTTCAGCTCACTTCAGTAAATGTGAACATACCCTAATTATCTAAATTTACATGAAATCATTTAGGGATTCCAAAATCAATCAAGTTTGGGCCATTTAGGGTTTAAGCCCATAATACAGCCCAAAATAATTTAATAAAAAAAAAAGCCCAACAAAAACAATGAGAAACGTAGTGAGTTAAGCAGCCCAATCTTCTTTCTTCCTCAGTTAAAATGTCTCTAATGAGTAATGATCATCGAATTATGGCCCCACACAAACTTCCCGCAAGATTATAATAATTCATCTTGCCGCCATTAAACCAAAGCATGTTATTATACCACGTAAAAGTTTGTTGAACTGTAAAGTTGTTGTATGGACTTTCACAAGCTTTACTAACTTTTACTACTTTTTTTTCCAATTAACAAGTTCTTAGTTCATACTTAATCTTGGTAATTATTTGTAACTTCTCTTTTAGACGTCCAAAACAAGTGATAAAATTGGCTTAATCTAAGCTCATGTGATAGTGTGATACTAAGGGTTTGTTCTCATTGATTGAATTCAACTGAACTCAACTGAGCTAAACTGAACTAAAATGAATATTTTATAAGAGAAGGAAATTAGGAACTGAACTGAACTGAGCTGAAGTGAATTGAACTAAATTTCAACGTAAGAGAACAGACCCTAATACTAGTTTTGCGGTTGTTAGATGCACGAGATGGCAAAGCAAGGACATGGAGAGGAGAGTTCAAAAATCTCAAAGTTAATGAGCAACCAATGAAGCATAATTTTTGGTAATAGAACTTATACAATACTCAATACATTTTCTAATGGTGACATATATCTTAATTTAACTGAGCTTACTCGACATATTGTTTACCTTTGATTTGACATTTTTTCTCTTTAGTTTATGTCAAATCGTTGTAAATAATATGTAACGGAAGTAGTACATAGTTTCGATAGTTACGTACATATTTAATGTCAAGAAATTAGTCAACTTTGTCACTGGTGGTAGTAAAAACGATGTAGCTCACGGATTAAAGTACTGGTGGTGAAAATGACTACAATTCAAACTACTTTATTATGTGTAAAATAATGGAGTGCGGTGTGTCTCTTCTGCTAATGGTGATTGTAGCCTTGTAGGGAATCAGGTGTAGGCCCCGTGGGCCGGGAAGCCCAATTTATGGTGAATTTCTGTTTTATTGTTCATTTTATATCTTTTTTTTTTTTTTTTTTTTTTTTTTTTGGTTTTTCCAGTCAAAGTAGATAAAGTAAGGTGAATGAAATCAATATAATGGCCCCATAAGTTAGTAATTAGCGTTGATTTTGGCTACTTTTTCCTCTGCTCATGACTCATTTTTAGTCATATGGTTGTATACTTTCCATTTACTACTGTGCTTTTGTCCTGCTTAAGTACGTATATAGTTCAACTGATTTACAGATTAGTTAGAATGAATTTAATTGATTTAAGATTTCAAGGTAATAAACTATCATTCGATGGCCGGTTCTAGCATTCTAGGATCACGACATTTTAAGTCTTAAATTGATGTTTTGTTTAAACTATACCGGCATATGAAATGCACACGCTCATATATGGTGTATTATGCTTGAATGCTTAATTATGAACTTGTAAGATAAATAAAGATAATTATGAAATCGAAATAAGTACTCCCATGATTCATAATTGAAGCGTTGTTACATTATATTGGAAACACTCCTTTTATGCTACTAGTCCTACCTCCTACTACTAATAATAATAATAGTAAACACATGCTCGACAAGTTAATAATTTCTTGTTTCCTTAAGCTTGGAGAGTTGTAGGAAGTTGGGAAAATAATCCCAACAGGGTGAATATTGACTTTTAAAAAAGGATTGTTGATGTACTGAAACATATTTGATTTATCCTAGAAATATGATGAAAAACAGAGGATTTAGTACTAGTCACTACTTTTAATCAATGTTACATTCTTTTCATGCTAGATCTGGCTGGGCGATTCTTGATCTTCCAAGTAAAGAATTTTATTATTATTACCAACTGATCTGAAACTATCAAAACGAATATATACTTCTCTTAATTAGCTAATGAAATGATCATAATTTGTACTTTGTATACTCCATGCTTAATTATATAGTTAAGTTGCATAGATTTGTCTCACCAAGAAAGAAAAAAAAGTTATTCTGTACCAAATCAAATGTACAATGGAATGATCCTATAATGACTCAAATTTGGACTTCGTGTTACTTATGCCTCAACGTATAGGTAATGTTAGGTTTCTTGTTTAAGGGAGAAAATGCAACACACATTCCTAGAGTGGGAATAATATTTATGGAGTAGTCAATTAGTTTTGTTGCTGAGGGGTTGGGCCGTATTCCTTTACCTTCTCCTCTACTTTCAAATATTCGACCTGAATAATTGACCAAAAAAAGACCGTGAGGGTTAATATCTAGTCAAGGCTATCCTTGTAATAATTTGCTTAATAGAATAAGATAAGCTATGTAAAAGACGTAATTAGCAAAGAACAACAATACGGGATATATAATATCCGCACATTCACACCCAGTCGTATTTGGGATCGATGGGGAATGAAATAGGTTACACGAACAATTACTAATTTGCTACAAAGTATATAGTATTGCAAATATTACATTAATTAAAGATCATACATCAACTACCATGACCAAAATTTTACCTTCCAACACATATCAAACATCACTTGAAGGTTTTGACACCTACATCATCTATCTTTTCCTCATCAAAACTACCAAGTTTCTGACTTAGATAAAACAACAGACTCACATGATAATGACACCAGACTAATTAAGTGGTACTAGAAAAATATTTACAAGTTTAATTATGGTTGTCAACCAAAGTTCCAACTACATAAACAAATACACATGCATGCTTTAATTCATCATCATCCAACGACCAACATCATATTACCTCACGTGTTATCCACATGATACCATTCAGTAAATTTATCGTTGTAAATCGATTTGAACTGAACTTGACCCAACCCGACCCAAATAACTTATTCAGGTCACACCGAATATACAATCACGAAGCAAGGGAGCACCGCTCTCGGGTTAAAAACAAGGAGCTCATCATCATCCATTTTACCCATCCCGGCCGAGCTCCGGCCCACCAACGAGTCAAACCCGGGGTCCTCCTTATCGGCCACCATCGGATCACACCCAACACGACCCGCCACAACCCGACAAACGAGCATAGCCCGCTTCACGTTCATGAACTCGAACTCGGCCTCCACGTCATTAGGGATCGCCTCGTGAGCCCGCCAACTAGTGGCAAAAGTGGAAATTCCATCCAACTTAGGCGAAAACCCTGACCGAATAATCCCACATGCACTACAATAAACCTGGCTACACAAAGCAGAATTACCATGTTGCCCCAAATTACACAAAAACGTCGTACAATGAAACCTCAACAACTCATTACCGTCCACAATGCACCTCTCGTCTCGCCGCGTCGTAGCACCACTGGCTGCGCGTGCAACATCACGCGCCGCCTTAGACTTGACCGCCTCGCGAAAATCCTCGAATTTCGCGAGGATCTTTTGGGAGTTATGAATCTTCAAAATACGGTGAATCTTCGGGAGCTTATTTTTATCAGTCCAACCCGTATTAAATATGATCCATACAATATTCTTACCCGAATCACCATCTCGGAGCTCCGAAACAGCGTGTTTAACACTCTGATGTTGTTCTAGAAGGCTCTGCTTCTGGAACACTTCACCACAAGAAGGGCAAGGGAAGATATCATTACGTAGGGGCAAAAACGGGTTTTCATATAAGTCGAATTCGGACCTTGATTCGGATCGGCGTTTACGCGGGCGAGAGCGGAACTCGTCCGAGTCATGAATGGGCAAAACTATAGGGTTTTGAGACGACCTCGGAGACGAAAACGACGTCGTAGAAGTGGTGGTAGTAGTATTGGTAGGAGTAGAAGGGCGTGTTTGTTGGGTGATACGTTTATTAGAGGAGGTGAAAACGCGCTTTAGAAAACACCAAGAAGATGAAAACGCTCTTTTAGGGGATAGCTTATTGTTAATAATGTTATTAGAGGATTTTCTTTTCTTTGATTGTAAATAACTAAAATCGTTTTTATTGTTACTATTCTTATTGTTGTAAGATGAGAATAAGAAGCAACCAAGATGAATGAAAATAAGGAGGAAAGGGTAAAAGAGCTTATTGAAGTGAGAAGCTAAGCTTTTGGGTGCCATTTTAATGGAGTTTTTGTAAGTTTGTCAAGGGGT